GCGGAGGCGGGGGTGCTGATGTGATGATGATGGTGGTGACGATGATGGTATGGACGATGTTGATGCTGGTGGTGGTGATGCTGCTCATGATGATGGTGATGATGATAATGACGATAATGAGAAGCAGCAGGAGCATGAGCAGGAGTATGTGGAACGAGAGGGGGTGGGGGGGGGGCAAACGCCTGCCAGTTTAGGGAGGGAGAGGAGGGTGCAGGGGGATGCGGTGGGAAAAGGATGGGCAGGGCGGTTGGATACGGGGGAGTGGAGGGAGCAGAGGCGCATTGACTCTGAACGAGGGCACTCGGGAGGAAGGGGAGACGGGAAAATGAGGGGGTCGCGGCAAAGGGAGGTGGCGCAGTACAGGAAAGGGTAACTAGGGCAGAAGAGTGACGGGTGGGAGGGGGTGGAGGGGAGGAGGTGAGGGGAGGATGAGGGGATGGGAAACGAGGAAAACGCTGAGTGGGGACATGGAGTGGGGGAGGAGAGGAATGGGGGAGAAGAGTGGCATGTGGGAGAGTGAGGTGGGCACTGTCTCCTTCTCCTGAAGCACGCAACGCAGGCAGGCGGGCCGAATCTCTCTCTGTCTGTCTCTGTCTCTCTCTCACTTTCTCTGGACAGCGCGTGCTCACATGATTGGGCACCGAAAGGCGCAGAACGCGCCTTCTCTCATCCTTCCCCAGTCGGTCGAACCGGCCGGGTCGGCTGGTCGATCTGGTCGAACCGTCGATCGAATCGGTCGAGCGGGTGTATCAGCCGGTCCGATCGCGAGTGATCGAGGTCGAGCCGATCGATTCTGTCGCAAAGCCGATCGGAAAGCGGTGTTGTACTCGCCCTCCCTACAGCAGGCATGTCGAATCAGAAGTCTGCCTGCCAGCAGGTGCCGGTGCCCCAAGCTCTGGGTCACCTTTGGACTCTCAACAAAAAGACTCGGGGGTGGACAGAACCCCCAACAGTGACACGTCGATTAGTGAATTGTCCGTTCTCTGTTCTCGAGAGGGCGCCGTGGCCGTTATTTTCCAGGCTTTCGCACGCCAGGTTTGGGCCTCAGGTCGTTTTCACTAAACCACGTCTTACTAAAGGGGGGTCTGTCCATCCCCGAAAGACGAAGAATCAGCTTCCATCCGCGTCATGGGAACATGTCTCACCGTCCGTGTCTGCTTCAGTCCCTGGCCCCTCAGGCTTGTTCTTCCTCCTCTCTGCCGACCTTCGCCCATCCCCCTCTCATCAGGAGAGGAAAAAACACAGACACTATTAATCGTCGATTCCCCAGAGGATATGGGAAACTACGGGAAGTGGGGGGGGAGACGAAAACCCCAAAAATATAGGAACATATGGGGAATCGTGGTGTTAATATGTATTTATTTGTGTGTCCCAGGGCCCCTTCATCTGTGTCTGCTTCGGTCCCTTGCCCCTCGGGCTTGTTCTCCCTCCTCTCTGCCGACCTTCGCCCATCCCCCTCTCGTCTCTGCTCTCCGCCCTCGCCTCTGGCCGCCTCTCTCTCTCTCTCTCTGTTCTCCCCTTTCCCTCTCTCCATCTTCTCTGTTCCCCCTTTCCCTTTCCCTCTCTCTTCCCTCTCTCTCTCTGTTCCCCCTTTTTTTCCCAACCATCCTGTGGTGTTGGGTCCTCGTTTTGAAGAGACGGTGCCCCGCGTTCCCCTCCTCCTTCCTCCTCCCCCTCCTCCCTCCTCCCCCTCCTTGCCTCTGCTCTCGGCACACCTCTCACGCGTTTCGTAGCCCCATAGGGAGCTCCACCGAAGGCCCCAGTGGGGGTGTTCGCATGCGGTTCCCCCACCCAGGGCAGCGTTTCGTGGCCCCATAGGGAGCTCCACCGAAGGCCCCAGTGGGGGTGTTCGCATGCGGTTCCCCCACCCAGGGCAGCGTTTCGTGGCCCCATAGGGAGCTCCACCGAAGGCCCCAGGGAGCTCCACCGAAGGCCCCAGTGGGGGTGTTCGCACACCCAGGGCAGCGTTTCGTGGCCCCATAGGGAGCTCCACCGAAGGCCCCAGTGGGGGTGTTCGCATGCGGTTCCCCCACCCAGGGCAGCGTTTCGTAGCCCCATAGGGAGCTCCACCGAAGGCCCCAGTGGGGGTGTTCGCATGCGGTTCCCCCACCCAGGGCAGCGTTTCGTAGCCCCATAGGGAGCTCCACCGAAGGCCCCAGTGGGGGTGTTCGCATGCGGTTCCCCCACCCAGGGCAGCGTTTCGTGGCCCCATAGGGAGCTCCACCGAAGGCCCCAGTGGGGGTGTTCGCATGCGGTTCCCCCACCCAGGGCAGCAGGGCAGCGTGTTCGCAGGCCCCATAGGGAGCTCCACCGAAGGCCCCAGTGGGGGTGTTCGCATGCGGTTCCCCCACCCAGGGCAGCGTTTCGTGGCCCCATAGGGAGCTCCACCGAAGGCCCCAGTGGGGGTGTTCGCATGCGGTTCCCCCACCCAGGGCAGCGTTTCGTAGCCCCATAGGGAGCTCCACCGAAGGCCCCAGTGGGGGTGTTCGCATGCGGTTCCCCCACCCAGGGCAGCGTTTCGTGGCCCCATAGGGAGCTCCACCGAAGGCCCCAGTGGGGGTGTTCGCATGCGGTTCCCCCACCCAGGGCAGCGTTTCGTGGCCCCATAGGGAGCTCCACCGAAGGCCCCAGTGGGGGTGTTCGCATGCGGTTCCCCCACCCAGGGCAGCGTTTCGTAGCCCCATAGGGAGCTCCACCGAAGGCCCCAGTGGGGGTGTTCGCATGCGGTTCCCCCACCCAGGGCAGCGTTTCGTGGCCCCATAGGGAGCTCCACCGAAGGCCCCAGTGGGGGTGTTCGCATGCGGTTCCCCCACCCAGGGCAGCGTTTCGTGGCCCCATAGGGAGCTCCACCGAAGGCCCCAGTGGGGGTGTTCGCATGCGGTTCCCCCACCCAGGGCAGCGTTTCGTGGCCCCATAGGGAGCTCCACCGAAGGCCCCAGTGGGGGTGTTCGCATGCGGTTCCCCCACCCAGGGCAGCGTTTCGTGGCCCCATAGGGAGCTCCACCGAAGGCCCCAGTGGGGGTGTTCGCATGCGGTTCCCCCACCCAGGGCAGCGTTTCGTGGCCCCATAGGGAGCTCCACCGAAGGCCCCAGTGGGGGTGTTCGCATGCGGTTCCCCCACCCAGGGCAGCGTTTCGTGGCCCCATAGGGAGCTCCACCGAAGGCCCCAGTGGGGGTGTTCGCATGCGGTTCCCCCACCCAGGGCAGCGTTTCGTGGCCCCATAGGGAGCTCCACCGGAGGCCCCAGTGGCTGCTCATCGCATGCGGTTCCCCCACCCAGGGCAGCGCTTCGTGGCCCCATGGGGAGCTCCACCGAAAGCCCCCGTGGCGCAGTTCGCATGCGCTTCCCCCACCCAGGGCAGCGTTTCGTGGCACCATAGGGAGCTCCACCGAAGGCCCCAGTGGCGCAGTTCGCATGCGGTTCCCCCACCCAGGGCAGCGTTTCGTAGCCCCATAGGGAGCTCCACCGAAGGCCCGCCCCGGTGGCGCAGTCGGCATGCGGTTCCCCCATCCAAGGCAACGCTTCGTGGCCCCATATGGAGCCCCACCGAAAGCGGCACCCACAACGCGTTACCAACAATTGCTTATGGTTGGGTCTTTCGCCAGGATGATTTTTTTTTTCTCTCTCTCTCTCTCTCTCTCCCCTCTTCCCTCTCTCCCTCCCTTTCTCTTTCCATCTTCTCTGTTCCCTCTCTCTCTCTCTCTCTGCTCCCCCTTTCCCTCTCTCTCTCTCTCTCTGTTCCCCCTTTCCCTCTCTGCATCTTCTGTGCGCCAGTCCCTTCCCACTCCCATCGCCTCGTCTTTGGGGGACGCCACCTACCCAGACCCCCGACGTCATGATGTTCTCATGGCGTCGACCCCAGTGGTCTGGAGCCCTTCCCCGGGACCAGTTTTTCATCCCGAGCCGTTTTTTCAACAGTCCCGAGGCCCGGGATGGGCCCCGAGAGGCCGAAGATAACGAAAATCTCCCGTCGTGATTTGGTCAGAGCGCGAGGAGGTCTGTGTATACGCACCAGCACCGATCTTATCCAGGTCAATCCTGGGTTCAGGATTTTGTAGACAGTGCCCGTCCACCGCCAGGAGAGCTTACACACCAGTCCTGCGCTATATTCCCGCTATACCTACCTCCAAAGGGAGCCGCGGCGAAGACACTCCAGAACACGGTGAAGGTGGCGCTGAACTGGATCCAGCAGGAGATTGACACGATGGGCAGCAACTGTCTCCCGCTCATCATAGGTGACCTGAACTGCACGTTCGGGGTCAGGATGGACACGACGGGCAAGAAGTACGTCAAGGAGACCGACGAGGTGGGGATCCAGGAGCCCGCCCTAGAGGGAAAGGTATCAGGCATAATCCGAGAATTTCTACTGGAGAACCACATGGCAGTAGCAGACACGTTTTGGAGATCAGGCGCGACTTTCTTCCAGGGCAAGCATCGCAGCAAGATTGACCACGTCATCATGCCGCAGAGAGCAGTTGCTCGCGTCAAGAGACTCAATACGCTTCAAATGCTTGGAAGAAGTATGCAAAAGTATGGATCGACACATTTACACGATCACGTACCGGTATTGCTGGAAATGGATGTTGGAATTAATGGAGCCTATCAAGCACAGTTTACGCCCCCAGCTAACCGTGATGCGATGATGACAGCATATTCGCAAGGATACCGCAGGCAAGGATTTCTCGAGGAGTTCGAAGAAAAGACAAAGATGATTCCAGAAGACCAGTGGCGAGCTACTTGGGACCATGGGGAAGTACAAACAGAGTGGAACTTGTTATCAGCGTGCATCAGAGACAGGATGACCGAGCATCTCCCCAAACAAGAGAATAACAGCATCGACTACAATATGTTGAGTGAGCAGAGGACGCAGCTCATACGTGAGAGAGGAAAACTACGGCAACGACGGCACCTCACTGGGAGCAAGAGATTCGAGGGGAACGGCTCCATCGAGTTTGACCGCGTCGAGCAGCAGTTGAAGGAGCTGTCGCGTCGCATGCAGGAGCTTCGAAGAAAGCAGCAGATCAGGCAGTTCGTGGGACTTTTTCCTGGTGGACGGCAACAACCACGCGGCAGCCAACGAGAGGTCGGCAGCGGGCGGGAAATATGCGGAGCGCAGCCAGTCAGGGGAGAAGGACCTGGGCAGCCCGCACGTCTACGTGGCAGCGGAGTGCCTGGACACCTTGGGCCGAGCCGACATTCTACCGACACACCTGAAGGAGGACATGGGCAAGCTCAGCATGATCATGGACGTGATCCCGTTCAACGAGTTCGCCGACCTCGTGAGGCTCAAGAGGATGAAGAAAGCCTACTAGAAAAACGGACAACAGGAGCGGTGGAAGGTACACATCACGATAAACCCGCTCGGCCTCAGCCCGTTCGACAGCCACACGGAGGACGAGATCAACAAGATCAGGGCGGGCAACACCGAGAGCACGACCAAGCTGGAACCGCTCAGCATCCCCCAGATCAAGGCCACGATACACGGGGCGATGCAGGCAACAGGGGGCGTGGCTACCATAGGAGCTCCGCCAACGGCCGCGCTCGAGCGGCAGGTGCAGAAACACGTGCGCCAGAGGCAGAGCACGGAGTAGGCATTCGAGGATTGAGTCGCCAGGTAGTAGCATGCAGTGTGAGAGCAACAGAAATACTTCAACGCCTAACTGGCGTTAGGCCATTAGGCAAGCAGAGATGACGGGTTGGGGGGAGGTTGGAGTGTGGGGGAGGGAGTGTGCGACAGTATTTGTAGCGGCTATAAGTATAGAGGCCACGAGATATTCGGAATCGATTTGACCTCGCCCGAGAGTGGGAGGGACGCGCCAGCGTGCGATAACCTCCCACCCGTTCTGTTTTTTTTTGCGTTGGAGGGATTTTCGGTCCAGTGTCGAAGCGGGCCCGAGAGGCTCGATAAGCCATTGGGTCCCGCAGGCATCCCTCTGCCACGCCGAATGAAACAGCCAGCAGACCCAAGCTCGAGCACCAGGCGAGCAGCCTCTGCCAGTAACGAGACAGAGGCAACCGAACTGCCAAGGCTTCCGACTCCGACTCCGACTCCTCCCTCTCCCCGCCTGCCTCGGTCCGCACCTGCTCTTGGCTCACGCCGCAGACCGCCAGCGGTGGGGCCCGCCGGAGCCCGCCCCAGCCTGCCCACCTGCACCTCCTCGATGGTCCTCAGGATGTGCGTCGGCTCACGCGTTACCAGCCTGGAACATATCCCTACCCCTATGTTGGGCATCTCCTCATCACGATGCCAATCTTAGGGATTCCCTTAGTTTTTCAGGGTGAATGCCTAAGATTGTCATCGCCCTTTGGCGTGTCAATCTTAGTGATAGGGATACGTTCGAGGCTGGTAAACGCGCGGGCTCACCCCGCTCGGCTCCGCCGCCAGCGCCCAGCCTGCGCCGGCCCTCGTTGCGCCGCCTGCGTCGCGTCGACGGGCCACGGCGGACGAGCACGCTGGCGCGCAGACGCACGCCCTGCGGATCCTCGGGCCTCCTGGCGCAGCGGGTACAGCGATGGCGGCGGTGGCCACCGCCGGCATGGCCCCGCAGCCGCTGGCGCGCCCGCACAGCTCGAAGAAGCAAGCACGCCAGAAGCGTGAACTCTCGGCGCTCCGCGCGGGCTTCTCGGACCCGCGCCGGGCCCCCCTCCCCGGCGCGCGGAGCGCGCCGGCGGCGGCGCCAGAGGCGCATCCCAGCGGGGGCCCAGCGTCTGTCCGAGCAATCCGCGCGGACCTCCCGCAGTTGATGTTTTGTCCGTGTTTCCTCCCTCTCGCAGCGGCCCGCTGGCCCCTGGCGCCGCGCTGCTGGGGGCCGCCGCCGCGGCCTCCGCTCGGCACGCGCTGGAGCCGCGCTTGGCGCCGCAGCCGTGCGGGGCGGGGGCCCACCTGCGGCCCGGGCCCGCGTGGGCGGCCGCGTGGCCGCAGGGCGCGCAGGCGGGGCAGCCGCCGCAGGCGGGGCAGCCGCCGCAGGCGGCGCTGGCGATGCAGGCGCAGCAACCCCTCGGATCCGGAGTCTTCGGGAGGAGGAAGAGGCATTTTCGGGAGGAGCGTTCGAGGTAGCACATTCCGGGGGCGACTTCGTGGACTTCATGAGCTCGCAGTAGCATTGCCTTGCAGTTTTGGTATCTCAGAGGGGTGTGTCTCGTGGCATGTTTTCCCATCGCCGCCTCCACCTGCGGGGCGCGCGCGGCCCCCGCGCGCGATCGGGCCTGACCTGGAAGAAGGGCCCCTACACGCCGGTCGCTGAAAGCAGGTATTTGTGGATCCCCAGAGCCCAATACACTTCAAGCGCCTTCCTGCCTCGAGAATCGGCAGGCTTTTGCTGCATGTTGCTCTTCCCTGGGGGGCCTGGACCCAATCAACTGAATCCGCCTGCCTACTTCATGTCTGTACTTACTTCTTCCGACCGACGTGTACCGCTACCCTTCGCCCGTTTTCCCCTTTTTGGGCATCCTGGGAGGCCCTCGTCGCCACTGTTGGATTCGCCTTGAAGTCCTTGCCGGAACGCACCCCAGGAGAGGTCCGGGGAGTGGTGGTACCGGTACCTTTTGATTTCCTGATTTTTCCCAACTGTCCAATGGTGTTGGATCCTCGTTCTGAAGAGACGGTGCCCACGTTCACTCCTCCTCCTCCTCCTCCTCCTCCTCCTCCTCCTCCTCATCCTCCTCCCGCTGCCCCCTCCCTCCTTCTCTCATCATCATGATCGTCATAATCTTCATCATCATCATCATCATCATCATCATCATCATCATCATCATCATCATCATCATCATAATCATCATCATCGTCATCATCATCATCAGCGTCAGCATCAGCATCAGCACCATCATCATCATCATCATCATCATCATCATCATCATCATCGTCGTCGTCGTCGTCGTCGTCATCATCATCATCATCATCGTCATCGTCATCGTCATCATCAGCATCATCATCAGCATCCTCATCAGCATCCTCATCCTCATCCTCATCCTCCTCATCATCATCAGCAGCAGCATCAGCATCAGCATCAGCATCATCAGCATCCTCATCCTCATCCTCATCCTCCTCATCATCATCATCAGCATCAGCATCATCCGCATCAGCATCATTATCATCAACATCATCATCATCATCATCATCATCATCATCATCATCATCATCATCATCGTCATCGTCATCGTCATCATCATGATCATCATCATCATCATCATCATCATCATCATCATCATCATCGACACTGCCGCACCCAGTACAGCGCCCGTGGCTTCATAGAGAACTCCACCGAAGGCCCCAGTGGGGTTTGCCCGCATGCGTCCGCCACACCCAGTACAGCGCTTCGTGGCCTCATAGGGAGCTCTACCGAAGGCCCTCATGGGGGTGCCCGCGTGCGTCCGCCACACCCAGTACAGCACTCCGCGGCCCCATAGCGAGCCCCACCGAAGGTCCCAGTGGGGGTGCCCACATGCTTCCGTCACACCCAGTACAGCGTTTCGTGGCCTCATAGGGAGCTCCACCGAAGGCCCCAGTGGGGGTGCCCGCATGCGTCCGCCACACCCAGTACAGCGTTTCGTGACCCCATAGGGAGCTCCACCGAAGGCCCCAGTGGGGGGTGCCCACATGCGTCCGCCACACCCAGTGCAGCGCTTCGTGGCCCCATAGGGAGCTCCACCGAAGGTCCCAGTCGGAGTGCCCGCATGCGTCCGCCACACCCAGTACAGCGTTTCGTGGCCCTTTTAGGGAGCTCGCCGAAGGAGTGCCCGCACGCGTCCGCCACGCCCGGTACAGCGCGTCGTGGCCACATAGGGAGCTTCACCGAAGGCCCCAGTGGGGGTACCCGCATGCGTCCGCCACACCCAGTACAGCGTTCCGTGGCCCCATAGGGAGCTCCACCGAATGCCCCAGTGGGGGTGCCCGCATGCGTCCTCTCCAACCAGTGCAGCGTTTCGTGGCTCCGCCGAAGGCTCCAGTGTGGGTGCCCGCATGCGTCCGCCACACCCAGTACAGCGCTGCGCGGCCCCATAGTGAGCTTCACCGAAGGTTCCACTGGGGGTGCCCGCATGCGTCCGCCACACCCAGTAAAGCGTTTCGTGGCCTCACGGGGAGCTCCACTGAAGGCCCCAGTGGGGGTGCCCGCATGCGTCCGCCACACCCAGTACAGCGCTTCGTGGCCTCAGAAGGGGGCTCCACCGAAGGTCCCAGTGGGGGTGCACGCATGCGTCCGCCACACCCAGCGCCGCGCTCCGCGGCCCCATAGGGAGCCCCACCGAAGGCCCCAGTGGGGGTGCCCGCATGCGTCCGCCACACCCAGTACAGCGTTTCGTGGCCCCATGGGGGGGCTCCACTTACGGGAGACGCATGCGGTCTGCGAGATTGAGACCGTCGGTGGAGTTCTTTATGGGGCCACGAAGCGCTGTACTGGGAGGGGGAGACGCATGCCGGCTGCGGCACTGGGAACTCAGGTGGAGCTCCCCATGGGGCCACGAAGCGTTGTATTGGGTGTGGCGGACGCATGCGGGCTGCGCCACTGGGACCTTAGGTGGAGCTCCCTGTGTGGCCACGAAGCGCTGTACTGGGTGTAGCTGGCGCATGCGGGCACCCCCACTGGGGCCTTCGGTGGAGCTCCCTATGGAGCCACGAAGCGCTGTAATGGGTGTGGCGGACGCATGCGGGCACCCCCTCTGGGGCCTTCGGTGGAGTCCCCTCATGGGCCACGAAGCGCTGTACTGGGTGTGGCGGGCGCATCCGGGCACCCCCAGTGGCTGGCTGTACTGGGTGGAGCGAACGCATGCGGGCACCCCCACTGGGGCCCTCGGTGGAGCCCCCTCTGGTGCCACGAAACGCTGTACTGGGTGTGGCGGACGCATGCGGGCACCCACACTGGGGCCTTCGGTGGAGCTTCCTATGAGACCACGAAGCGCTGTACTGGGTGTGGCGGACGCATGCGGGCACCCCGGGGACCGACCTTCGGTGGAGCTCCCCGTGAGGCCACGAAACGCTGCACTGGGTGGGGCGGACGCATGCGGGCACCCCCACTGGGGCATTCGGTGGAGCTCCCTATGGGGCCACGAAGCGCTGTACTGGGTGTGGCGGGCGCATGTGGGCAGCAACACTGGGGTCTTCGGTGGAGCCCCCTTATGGTGCCACGAAACGCTTTACTGGGTGTGACGGAGGCATGTGGTCACCCGCAGATGGGCCTTTGGTGGAGCTTCCCATGTGGCCACGAAACGCTGTACTGAGTGTGGCGGTCGCATGCGGTCACCCCCACTGGTGCCTTCGGTGAAGCTCCTTATGCGGCCACGAAGCGTGTGATGATGGTGATGATGATGATAATGCTGATGATGATGATGATGATGATGATGATGATGATGCTGATGATGATGATGATGATGATGATGATGATGATGATGATGATGCTGATGCTGATGCTGATG